ATGCACCTGAGAAGCATATAGAAACATTCATTACTAGACAAAGCTAACCAAACGATACGTATTCATTAAATTCTCCCACATGGTGACCTCATGTGTTACACAGTAGAGCTGGTCCCTAGAATTTTTTTGACTGTGATTTTTAATGACACCCTTTGACAGGACTTTCTTTCATAGTATCAGCGGTAGGTGTGAACCGCCAACTTTATGTAAGTAGTGAAGCATTTTTTGTCACCTGAGGACCTTATTCACCATACAAATGTTGGATATAATCATTGAAAAGCAACCAGGTTTGTTCCCCCTAGAGGTTGACTCCATTTAAATTCCTATGTTGGCAAATCTGTCTTCTTTTATTGAAAGTGAACCCATGGAGGCCCTTGACTTTGTAATTCTACTTTACTACTTTCTTCTTTTCACTTTGATATATGTTTATTGTAAAAGTTTTTATACAAAAATTAATTTAATAACATTTTACAAGAGTATATAGCTGAGTAAAATCTAAAAATATACAATTTTCAAACTAATCATTCAATTCTGTATAAATTAAAGCATGCAAACATAACCAATGTGTCAAACAATTTCCCCTCATTTGGTTCTTTTTTATTGGTCTAAGTATCCACCTTTCCAGATGTCAGCTAATTACCTAGGGGCCAGTGATGTGCAGCACACAGAATGGCACAGAAAATCCCCACAGGCGCATTTGCTCCAGCTGGGGAAGTAAGTGCAGGAGCAGAATTCCTGATAAAACTTCTCCACTCACCCAGGCAGAGGGATTCCCTTCACACAGCCCACTCTAAGTACAGGTAAGAGCAGCCTCTCCTCCCTGTCTGAAGGCATTTTCCTGCTGCTCTAAGGAGTAGTACTTGGCTGTGTCCACAATAAAATGTGCCTGCTGGCTTTAAAGGTATCCTAAGTCATTTAGCTTAGATAAACATAAGGGAGATATTCTTGGAAGTGAAGTTAAAAGAATTCACCTAGGGTCTGGGCATTGCTCCATCAATATCTCTATTGTTTCATCTCTAATCCCCCCACATCTTGAAAGGTAAGATCTCTAAGACAGAGTTCCTACTTATACTTACTTTGCATTGTTTTGTTCTTGTATGTGGCTCTAGTTATTCAGAAACTCCAAGTACCTTACAGATGTTTTGTTTTCATCTGTTTAGTGATTCACAGCAAAAAAAATATGTGCTTCTAAAATATATCCATCACTTTATGACTCCTTAAATACCAAATAACCAAACCCAAAAATATAGTCACTAACACAACCTCTGATTAATTAGTTATACATAGTTCAACAAATTGGTTGTATGCAGTTTTTAGATATACAGCTATCTAAATATTTTATTTACTTCAGTAGTTAACTCCTAACTATGTCTACAAGCAATATGGCAAAAGTAAAATAACCACAGTTTTAGTGTTCAGCAGACCCGAGGTCACACAGTGTCATACATATATGGAAACCTGAACACATAAGCCCATCACTCTGAAAATGGGTTGTTAGTCACTGTTTGCTAATACTACCACTAATCTGCCACAAGATGATTCTGACTTATAATGATCCTAACTGTTGAACTGTCCATTGGAGTTTCAGAACCTGTAACTCTTTACAAGAGTAGAGAGCCTCATGTTCCTCCCAGAGTGCAACTGGTGTGTTTGAACTTCTTCTTTTGCAGTGAGCAGTTCAACTACATCACAGTGCTCCTCTGCTTGATAATCATAATGTGAAAATAATGTAATTTATAGATACAAAATATATATTCAATATATATAAAGATATTTAGCAAAGTAACTGCCTCTATACTAATTATCCTCTCTCTAGTTGAGAACATTTAATGAATCCTCTTTACCATCCAACTTTTAACCAATTTCAGGTATCACTCAGCATTGTTCTCAGAACTGAAAGGTAGAAGGATAGAGGGAAAAAAGACTTACAAAAACATAACTAAAATCCACACTGAAAATAATCTAAAGTTAGCCTGGGCTTGGTAGCAGGTGGGACCAGACAGTCAGGAGACTTATACCCCTTCTGTGTTCTCTACCTCTCAATCAGCCCACTTCAAGTCAAATCTTAAATGTGACTTAAAGTCAAATCTTAAGTCCTCTGGGCCTCAGATCGATGCGTTCATAGACAGAGCTGGTGCTTAACCGCCATGGAGCTGATTAGCTCTGCAACACTCCACGGTCATTCTTCTCTAGAAAGGGATACATTAATTAAATTCATCAATTTGCATAGTGTTCCAATCATAAAAACAGCACTTTGACACATTTGGAAGATGCTGTTGGCAGCCTTGCTTTGACAAAAATCATCATCCACTGGCAATTAAATTTTCTATGTTGCGGCATCTAGCACTAAACCTTTTTTTACATAAAGGGTTTCTGATAATATAGAAAATCAAACTGGATATTCCTTTTTGTATACTTTGTGTTCATAACGTATGTTTCTTCGGATTTGGATGTAGATAAATCCTCTTGCCCTCTTAGGCATATTTCCAATTCATGTCCAATTGCACAGCTACATATTATACCATTAAATTTAATATTTGTTTTGAGTTGTTTGATTGGGAGAAGAACACAGAAAGGGTATCAGTTTCCTGATTGTCTGGTCCCACCTTACACCAAACCCAGGCTAGCTTTAGATTGTTTCTAATATGGACGTCAGTTATATTCCAGTAAGTCATTCTTGCTCTGTCCTTCCACATACACTTTTGTACTGCTTTATGATGTTAAAATGTGTGTATTCCTAAATTATAACAATATTTTATCTTCTAATAAAATAATGAAGATGACGGTTATTAGTATTTACTGAGTCCTTCTTTAAGATAAGTAAGGTGCTATGTGATCTATAGGTGTTATCACATATTCTCATCGGCTCATCCCTATTTTTACAGATATTGTTCTTTCTTTTTTGCAATCTTTTAAAGTCATTGTACTGCATTTTTTCCTTTTCCTTTTTGTTCTTTTAGCCTAAAACAAAATCCATCTAACTTTTTCACTCAAAAACTGTATGTGTAGATATAGATAACGTTCCTGTGTACCTTCTCTCAATGTTTATTAATGTTGGGTGCAAAATTTCTAGCCTAGTTCCCAGTTTTCAGAATTTCAGTTTGACTGAAGGGCTTAGCTAATAGTTTACACGTTTACACATTTACAGTTTAACTAGCAGCACCCCTACTTAGCAACACTAGTTAATTTTCTCCCCTTTTGAAAATGTAGAGTAAATCACTCAAATTTCAAAAATATACTATTTACAGAATATAATAATTTCAGAAATTTTCCAACTAATTCTGATAAAAATTTATTTGGGTAAATATTCATTTTAAAATTCACTGTACTTCAACAAGCCATCCTGGATCATTTAAAAATTATTTTTCATAAAATAAGATATATGGTTCCAGGAAAACATTTTAAGTCACATATAAATTAGAATCATACAGAAAGAGAGATGCCTACTTACCAGTTTTCAGACTGGTCCTGACTTATGAATTCCCAGATTTTAACTGCAGAAATGGAATAAGGGCATGTCCTGTCTTTTGATTCAATCTATTGCCATTCCCCATATTTAGGTATACTTAATCCACCTCAAAAATGTCTACTTTTAGGCTATCAGATTTACTATCATGACTTATAGACCTTTCTCTCTTTATTCCCTTAATTGCGCTCATAATTTAATAGGTTGTGTGAATGGGAGAGTATATATCAGGAAGTGCTGACAAAAGTTTCTTTAAACAGGAGGTCATTTGTAAATCTTAGAAAGAACATTTTGATGACAATAATTAAATGAATTAGAAGAATTGCATCAGAGAGAGAAAACTTGGGGATTAATAGGTGACAAATCAGAGTAGCTCTGGATTTCTTGAGGAGACAGTCTGCCCCCAGTGCTGACATAGATCTGTAGAGCTAATAATTGAAGTGGGAAAATATAATTTGGGAAACATGGAAGATTGAATTTTGATGCATGTTAGATGTCTTGTTGGGTTTAATTTGGCTTTGATATATCAAAGTAGACAAACCAAAGAATTATATATTTGGATTTAATAATTTTGAGATTCTGAAATAAAAATACTCAAAAGTAGGAAAATACCATTGCATATAGAATGCTTATAGAATTGAAAGTATATAGAAATAGACATATTTCAGGAAATAGCAGACTAACTTTCAACCTGCTGTATTTTTCAATAAATATTATTTCTACAATTGATTAATTAGAATTATAGTTACAAGTATTATGTATAAGAGCTTATTATTTGCTAAGAGTAAGTCTTGATTTATAACCACATCATCGAATGCATATACAATCATGAAAAAAAATTATTTCAAGTATAAACTATAAAAACTTTACATAGATTAAGATATTTATAGATCTCTCTCATATTTGTCTTATATACTGATACACTGTTAATGATTGGTTGAATTAAAATGTAGTTTAGTTTCTATTAGCACCAGCTCTAAATTCGTGTTCTTTTCTATGACTGATTGCATGCTTCACCTCCCTCAGGTATTATGAACTTAAGAAATTTACCTAAACTCTTAAATTTATGCATCAATATATAATCTGTAACAACAATACCTCTCTGTAGGTTTATAATGAGACTCAAATGAAATAATATATGTATAATAGTCAGGGCACTGTCTGGGGCATGATCTGAATATTAGTTCAATATAATATGTCCAAATAATCCTAGAAGAGCCCAAAGCACAGCAGAGGCAGTTTCCATATACCTTCTGATTCCATGTATTTAAAGATTAAGAATAGGTAAAATTCATCCTGGTAACAGAAATCAGAATATTAGCTACTATTAGAGAGAACATTGACAAGAATTAGGAAATCTTTTGGCCTGCTAACAATGTTCTGGGAAGTGCTTACATGGATACATACAAATGCAAAATTTCACTGAATTATATTATAACTTCTTGTATTTTATAAAGTGTATATTTAACTGCAACTAAAACATTTTACTTCTTAATTTTAGAAAATCAAGACCTTACAAGAAAATTTTGTTCTGAAAACCATAATGTCAATTTTCAGTAATTCCACCTCCCCTACTTTCCTCCTGACTGGGGTCCCTGGACTTGAATGGGCTCATGTCTGGATCTCCATCCCCTTCTGTTGCCTCTATTTAACTGCCCTTTCAGGGAATACCTTGATCCTGTTTGTAGTCTTCACTGAGCCCAGCCTTCACGAGCCCATGTACTATTTCCTCTCCATGTTGTCTACTACTGACATTGGCTTGTGCATCTCGACCTTGGTTACAGTGCTGGGAATATTCTGGCTCAATATTCGAGAGATCAGCTTCAATGCTTGCTTATCCCAGATGTTCTTCATTCACCTCTTCACTTTCATGGAATCCTCGGTGCTCTTGGCTATGGCCTTTGATCGGTTTGTGGCCATTTCTAACCCTTTAAGATATGCTACCATCCTAACTCATGCCAGGATTGCGCAGATTGGCCTGGCGGTCGTTACCAGGGGGACTGTGATTCTGACACCATTAGTCTTGCTTCTTAAGCGTCTGTCTTTCTGCCGCAGCCATGTGCTCCACCATTCCTACTGCTTCCACCCAGATGTGATGAAGCTTTCATGTTCAGACACAAAGATCAACAGTGCCTTTGGACTAACTGCAATTATCTCGACTGCTGGAGTGGACTCCATTTTTATCTTGCTCTCTTACATCCTGATTATTCGCTCAGTACTTAGCATTGCATCCCCACAAGAAAGGAAAAAGGCCTTTAGTACCTGCATCTCACATATCACTGCTGTGGCTATCTTCTACATCCCTTTGATCAGCCTGTCTTTTGTTCACAGGTTTGGTAAGGGTGCCCCACCCTATGTACCCACCCTCATTGCTAATTTATACTTGCTGATCCCTCCTGTGATGAACCCCATCATCTATAGTGTGAAAACAAAGCAGATTCAAAAAGCTATGCTTAAACTCGTATGTTCCAAAGGTGCTCATATTTAACAATCTCTGCTCCCACCAATACCTTCTTATTTACATAACAGTTAATATTTATCACAAATTGTGGCGCTATGGGTAGAACTAGGCTTCAACTAATTCAAACAGCCTGAGAGTACAATTATGCTTTCTAAGACAATATTTCATTTTCTACCACTAAAATATTAAAGCATGTTCTCACTACCTCTCAGCTACTCGATTCAAGTAGCTGATTAATTCTCTATGCTAATTCCACTAAAAATTCATTTACTTTTAAATATTTTTAAATGTCCAGTTCTATTACAATTTTATAATTAGCAAATAAACACACCTGGAAAATATATTCCTCATACCATCCAGTCCACAGTAGTTAAAAATTGGGTCCAGTATTCCTTCAAAGGCTAATCTCCCAGTGCTCAGTATAAGAAAAAAAAATTACTAACTTTTCCTTCATAACTATATATATATATAAATGTAACTTCCCTATTGCTGGGTTTGATTGTTGATTGAAAATCAGCCTTGACTCCTACTTCACCATTTTAAAACTCTACCTTTGTATCAAAACTTATCTTTAATGATCTTTCTTATTAAAGTTTTCGTGATCACACCAAAACAATTTGATCTCTCATTTCCTTCACACAATTAGTCTTTAGTAATTTTTTATCTGTAACTTTTTTGTTTGTACATTTATGTGTGTATGTGTCTTTGTATGTGTGCAAGGAAGATAAATAATAAATAGATAAAGAGAGATAGTAGATAGGTGATAAATATTACAGTAATTATTATAGCTTTTACAAGGCTGCAATTTCCCTTAAGACAAAAATTTTATTCTTTACACACATGTTTTGCAGCACACAAAATAGGCCATCAAAAGAGAAGTTTTTTAATTGAATGGAATATGATAAAATATTAAATAGTCCATCTGAACCATCTCACTGATTGCTCAGTAAATTCCATTGCTTGGCACAGATTGCTGTTATCCTAATCCCATAGCATTCAATTTGTATTATTAAGCAATTGATACTAGTTCTGGCATGTCAAAACGATGTAATTGAAGAATGACTTTGCATCTGAAAACACAATCTCTGGAATTTACCCCAGGTCAGCCTAAGCCCCCTTGACTAAAAATCACTTAAGATATAAATGTGTGTGTGTTTCTGTGGATATATGTACATCAGGAGCTTTGTTAGGGAGCCTTCCTCCAATCCTGACGCCACAGTCTTCTTCATATAATCCAGCTTCTCTAATTGTTTCCTCAGAATACACATTAAACAAGTATGGTGAGAGAATACAAGCCTGGGGAACACCTGTCCTGGTTTTAAATCATGCAGTGTGCTGCCCTTATTCTGATCTCACAACTGCTTTGTGATCCATGTACAAGTTCCAAATGAGCACAATGAAACATTCTAGAATTGCCATTTGTCTCAAAGTTATCCTTTTACATTTCCAATGAAACATAAAGAAACATCTTCCTGATAGTCTCTGTTTGAGTTAAGACTGATCTGATACAGACACTGGTATCACTCATTTCAAGTCCTCCTTTGAATCCAGCCCGCCCTTCTGGCAGTCTCCTGTTAATGCACGCTGCAGTCGCCGGGGGTGGGGTGTGGGGGGGGGGGCTGTTAAAGCAAAACTTGACTTGTGTTCTATGTTTTCAGCATTCTGTTGAGTCATGTTTCTTTATAATAAGCACAAATATTGATCTCTTCTAGACAGTCAGCCAAGTAGCTATCTTCCAAATAGCCTTGAAAGGATGAGTGAGTGCTTCCAGTATTTTTTCAGCTTGCCAAAACATTTCAATGTGTATTCCATCAATTCCTGTAGCCTTATTTTTGGTTAATGTATGTAAACATACATTTCAAGTTGAATATATATACCAAATATATGATATATATGTATTATTAATATTAGTAATTCTTTTTGACTTACCATTGACTTACATATTAAATTGAATATGTATACCACATTCAGTTAATTTATTGTGCCAACCTGGCCGATAAACACATGTGGGGTTAATGGAAGGGTGGAGGGATAAATAGCTTGGTGAGCCTCCCCTTTCTAGTTCTCGGGTCACTTGCTTTGTGATGGTCAGACCAGGGTGCAGCTGCCTTAGCCAGTTCCCAGCTAGCAAGGTTCACTTTCTGCAAGATATCCCCGAAGAGAAACCATATGGACCAACCCAATGCAGACCTGGATGCTGAAGCAGCCATGGGGAGACCCCTGCCAGTGCTGAGATGCTTACACATTCAATGACTTGACTTTTCTCCTGCAGTCGGCATCATAGTGAGTGTTTTATGAGATGGAGGAGGACTTTGTGGATTGGTGTTGGACATATGGGTTAATGTTAGACTTGTTGGCTTGGGCAGCACTGGGTTGGGATGTTTT